CTCCTCCGACGATGTGCGGTCGGGGTCTGTTGGGCTGCAGTAGGCCCACAACGGCTGCCTCCTCTCCGCCAAAGGGGCGACGCCATGGCACAAGAAGGTGTGGAACACCCGCACCCCATCGAGGCCGTGCTACACCAACTTCTAGAGCTTTGCCTTGATGACCTCAAGCTTGTTCTGCCGACTAGAGGGCCCCCACGACCAGCTCTCCGGCCTTCTTTCGGTGAACAGTGGGAACGGTGCCTCTGCTGGGTTTCTGATGTAGAACCACTCCCCATGCCACACCCGATTGGAGTCGTAGGGGGAGTATACAGGGTAGGAGCCCGATGGCCTCAGCTTCTTCTACAAGGCGAAGCCCCCAACGGCGTGGTCCTAGGTGGCTTCCCCTCTAACAGGGCTCGCCCGGTGAAGATCCGCCGGAATAGATCCACGTGCGGCTCCATCCCGAGGAAGGCCTCGTAGATAGTGAAGAAACCGGCAATGTGCAGCACCCCAGTCGGATTGAGGTGCCACAGCTCTAGGCCCCATTCGTTGAGGAGCTCGCGCAAGAACTAGTGCGCGGGATATCCTAGCCCACGCTCGTGGAAGGCGGGGAAGGAGACAACCTAGTCGGCCCGAGGTTACGGAATGGCTTCCCCTGGCGTAGGAGCCCTCCAGTGCGCCACCTCCTTCGGCGGGAGTAGCCCCTTCTCGGTGAAGGCGGCCAGCACCACCTCATCTACGTTGGATGGCCTCCAGCTCGACATCGTGCTCTGGATTCACAAACAAATCTGTGAGTTCTCCTCTCCCTCGCTTTACCCTCTCTCTCTTAGAAACTGCCATGGCGTACGAACGAGCTTAGCAAGAAGGAAGGAGGAGGGGAGGCGGCAGATGGAGAAAGGTGAAGGAATGGAACGAAAACCCTCTCCTTTCCCCTATTTAAATGCGAATAGGCATGCAATGGGATGTGTCCTGACTGATGGGATGCACCCTGCCCAACGAAACGTCACCCGGTTAAAGCGCGATGTGGCCTGGGTTGGGCCCACCACTACCACAACCTAGGCGTAGGAAACACGGCGCAATCGCATGCAAATGACCCTCCGCCTTTCCAGGCAGGGTTTGGAAGGACCCACCGATAGGATCTCCGTCGAGGAGAGACCAACGGGCTACCTGAGTCGATCGGACGGCTCAGGCGACTGCCGAGAGACAGGTAAGGGGCAGTGGGATGCCCCATGCGGGCTATGCCGACTCCGTCACGAATGACGAACACGGATCCCATTCGGACATATCCGATAAGAGCTCCTCAAACCCGTCACTCGAGTCATCAAGGTAACTTTACCAAACCTTCTTACTTTATTTTCTAATGCATGATCATTCATTCATCCTTTCTCATATACGCATTCACACATTCATTCATACAATCATTCATTCAACCTTTCTCAAACACGCATTCACACATTCATTCATATGATCATTCATTCATCCCATACATCCAAAGCACCGCATATGCAATTAATGCATCACAACGCTTCGTGTTGCGTCATGAAGCGGTAGTTGCCTCATTCAACATGAGCAAGGACCGACCGGGGTTCGAAAGCCGGTCCGTGAAGGGCTCGAGGCCGCCTCACGTCAAACAGAGCCAGGGGAGAAAACGTAGATGAGCTCCAGCAGCCCTCGCTCAGTATGCTCAGAAGCAGACAGGGTCATCTCGACCTTCTTGTTCGATCCTAACCTTGAGCCATGCCCACAGAATCTCCATCGAGGGGAGGCCAGCGGGCCACCTGAGTCGGTCTCCAGAACGACCCAGGCATCTGCCGGGAGGTGGGTTAAGGAGCAGTGGAATGCCACGTGAGGGCTGTGCCAACCCTGTTACGAACGATGGACCCGAATTCCGCTCGAACGCGGCCGTTAGTGAGTTCACCGAGCCCATCACTCGAGCCATCGAGGCAAACAACATTAGCTCAGCCCCTTCGTTTGTGGAAACCACGGACGGGGTAACGCATGGAACTAGACCAACAACCCCTACCGAACCCAACAGGGCTCAGGGGCTCAGGTCGCCCGACGCCGACTCGGGAAATCAACCGACCGCGCAGGTCGCGGGCGGGACAAACATGGGCGAACACCCCGAACGACAGAAACATAGAAGTCTACGGCCCTAGGAAAGAGTACCAAGATACTCAGCCTCCAACCAACTCACCACTCGGACGCAGGCTCGGGGGCTACACCCACCGGGTGCGCTCGCGTACACCCGTTGGCAAAACGAAAAATCCCCCAAACGATTTTACCCGAAATGCCCGGGGGCTCGAGGGCTCTTGTCGGGTTCATAAACCCTAGGTCCCTAATGGACCCGCTTCCCAGCAAAAGCTCAGGCCCAGCAGACAGCATTACGAACGACGCGCAACTCCTAGGCCGGCCCAGATACCTAACGACAAGCCAGAAGAGCGATCCAGTCTCCGACCGGAAGGCCTCGCCAAGGAGGGGGCGACGCTCGCTTCTGACTCTGACCTGTTTCTTCGACCGGAAGGCCTAGCCAAGGAGGGGATGACGCTCGCTTCCGACTCCGACCTGCTTCTCCGACCGGAAGGCCTGGCCAAGCAGGGGGACGACGCTCGCTTCCGACTCCGACCCGCTTCTCCGACCGGGAATACACCGAACCTCTGCTTACGGCTCTTCTCCGACCGGCGCGGTCGGAGCCAACTGGGAACGACCGACCGGGAACGCCCGCTCGGTGAGGACCTAAGAAATCAGGCGGAGCAGATAAGGTAAGGCTCTCAAGTCAACCACAATACCGAGGACCGTACCCTGCACACCTACAGGACAGTACTGTCAGGCCATGCCAGAAGAGTACTTTGCAAACTTCTAGACATATCAGAACACGAACAGTGTTGTGGTGCCGACATTTATCCTACAGTATGGTAGGCGCCGACATTTGCCATACTAGAAGAACACGATGGAGCCTGCCACATGCATCTGGACGTCAACAGTATTGTGGACGCCGACAAACCGTCTTGTAGCTGACGGTGTGGGCAATAAGACTAGAAAACACATACTCTCTCTCTCTTAAACTTGTAAGGCCATCCCCTTCACCTATAAAAGGGGACGCGCTCTCTCCTAAAAAGGACGATCATTCCGGCTCTCTCTCTCTCTGCTAGCTTTAGACATTCTGAGCATTCGAACAGCTCCACGGCTCTAGAACTCTAAAGCTACACGGAGCATACGTTCCAAAACTTAGCGCACGTAGGAGCTTCCGTCATTCTTGGCCCTTCAGTCCAGAGTCCGACCGGACCTCTAACACCCCCATCTTATTCCCATTCATCTGTAACCCCACTGCAAACTTCGAGCACTTGGGCTCAGGAATAAAGTCACCGACCGACTCAAACTGGACGTAGGGCACGTTGCCTGAACCTGTATAAACTCTGTGTCATTGAGTGTTAGGCCACATCCGATCATAACGTACGGCAAAATGACAAATATTTACTTGTTGATCACTTTTCACACCAACATATCCTTTTTTATTAGTATCCGACAATATCGGCATCTGTATTTGAATTAAAATATGGTAAATAGTGGTACCCGAATCCGATCCGAATCCATCCCTAATCTCTTCAGTTAGTTGAGGGAATAATGTCATCCTGTTATATGTTTGGTAGAAGGATGGGGAGAGAGGATGGATGGTTGTTAGTCTTATGTTATAGAAACTGTTAGTGAAGAGCCAGCATGTCATCCTATCCTCCACCTCTTTCTTCCTCTTCACTCCCACCGTAATGCCCCGTCCGCCGTGCTTGCCTTGCCCGATTGTGCGGCTGCCCACCATAGCCATCATGGACGCCATGGACCTAGCTTCCACTAGTTCTGCCCAACTACACCCGCCCCACTAATTTCGCCTGGCTATGTAGCTCCATTAGCTGCGGCAGTGGTTGTTGCCAGCTCCCGGTTGCACGGCTTGGCTTAGACTGCCTAGCCACGCCCCCCTCAGCCCGCTCACTCTCTAGCCTCGCAAAGCCCCTGGAGAAGGAAAAGGAAAAGGAAAAGGAAGAATGGTGCAAGAGAGAGAAGATGGCACTGGAGGAGTCTCGAATCGATAGAGAAGGCTCAGTCATGGAACACCAAGATGACACCTTACAATGTTGAAGTGGGACAAATTGGTCTACATTTTTCTGGAGGATATGCTCGCCCAGCATCTCATAAAAATATTCCCTAGGAAGAATGACCCCATTCCACCTGTCCTCCAATCAAACACCATCCAACATAGGATTGTCGTGTCCTGTCTTACCCTATATCTAAAATCAAATGCTACCTAAGTAGTCATGGACCTCTGTAGCATTTTAGATAATAAAGGAATAAAATTTTACACGTCATGTTGACGCAAAAATGTGCCATGGTTGGCTTTTGATACACATGGACCTCTGTAACCAAATTTACCTTTACAAAATGATTTGATAATAATTTGATTAATTTCTTGGAGTTGCTCTTAAATATGAAAGCCATCTCCACTCTACTAAGAGCATGTTTGATACACATGGCTAGTTACTAGTTGGGCTAAAAATTAATCCAAATTAGCTATTGTTGGCTGATTAGTTGTATAACAACTAGTTGAAGACTTAGTTAAAAGATTAGCCCACTTATTAGCTATCCTGTTTGGATGCACTAAGCTAATTTCAGCTAATTTTTAGCTAGCTACCAATTAGCTCTTGCATCCAAAATATAGTGTGTGAAGGGCACATGGCAGTCATGAATGGTTCGCTGAAATTCAGCCTGTGACCTTGGTGGAGCACGAGCATTAAAATATATATAGCGAAATGGGATGGTATTTAGGAATCGAAGAATAGATACCAACAATTTATGCTGCCCTTTATATGTACATCTCTGGAGGAAATTGTTGCCTTTTGTATAATCTGATAACAGCTGAAGCCATTTACATTTTGGTTGCTGAACGCCCTGTTTGGCTAACTACATTATTATTTTTTTTGAAACGAATGAGCTATTTCCTGTGAAATTCTGTAGCCCAAGTAGTGGAGGAATCATCATTTGATCAGTTTCAACGGCCGAATCATGGCGTTGTCCTCATGATCCAAAATCTGCCAAACAAGAAACAACCAAGCATTCACAATCAGTTGGTAATAAGCAATGAATGAATAAGCAGATGCTTCATGTTGTTAACTACGTACGTGGCAATGGTAGACGTATCCTGGCTCGGCCGTGGCGTCGAACGGGTAGCTCCTGCCGGTGTCGACCATGAGGAACTTGACCACCACCGTCGTCATGAACCCCGGCGCGATCTTGACCACATTCTTCCACGTCCTCTCGTGCTCCGGCACGGCCACCTCCTCCCCCACGGCGTGCCGGGCCACGTCGCAGCGGACCGCGTCGTTGAGCCTCTCCATGCAGTGCTTGAACTCCTCCAGCTCGACGAGCTCCCGCGCGCGCACGGCCTGGAACGTGGCCAGGTGCAGGTGCAGCGGGTGGTTGTCCTGCGTGAGGTTGATCACCTCCCACACCTCCGTGGTGCCCGGCCGCGGCGTCTCCGTCGCCGGGTCCTCCATCCGCTTCCCGTTGATGTACAGGTGCGTCGGGGCGCCCGTCGCCTCGTCCTCGTACTCGTACATCACGATGTACCGCCTCTGCGCTGCCTCTTCCTCGGCGACCTTGACGTAGTCCAGCAGCCGCGCCGGCACCCTCGAGTGGTCGACCTTCACCGCCGGCGGGTCGACGACGAACTTCATCACCTTGCCGTTGAGGTGGTTGGGCGCATCGCCGTCGGGGTACGGGTACGGCGCCGTGTTGACGAGCTCCGCCTCGAGGGTCGCGCACTCGGAGAAATCGACGACGACGTCGAACGCCTCGGCCACGGCGACGAGGAGGTGCGTGACGACGACCGGCCGGGGCAGGTAGCTGGCGTCGGAGCCGACGACGTGGAACGGGAGGCCGTTGGACAACGAAAGGTTGAAGAACCGGGCGTTGCTGGCGTTGATGACGCGGAAGCGGTAGCGGCGGCGCGCGACGGGGAGTAACGGCCAGGCCTTGCCGTTGACGGTGACAGCGTGCCCGAAGTACTCGGGCTGCCACTGCGGGTGCACGCGGGGGTTATCCCCAGTGCAGTTCATGTAGAGCTCGCCGTCGACGTAGAAGCTGCGGTCGACGAGGACGAGCACCCGGTCGAACTCCTCGCCGAGGGGGAGGCCGAGGGGCGCCTCCGCGGCCGGGTTCCGGACCACGTAGGCGCCGAGGAGGCCCGCGAGGAGGTTGGCGCGCGTGAGCCCCAGCGCGTGGTCGTGGTACCACAGCGCGCCGCCGGGGGACTGCGCGTTCGGGTACAAGTACGTGGGCGTCGTCCACGCGGGGCCCCGGTCGCGGAACCCCGCGGTGAACCAGGCGTGCGCGTGCCCGTCGGACTGCGGTGGGTGCACGCCGCCGTGGAGGTGGACGACGGCGGGCACGCCGCCGTTGTTAGGGATGGCGGTGGGCACCGTGGGGTCCCACGGCAGGATGTGGCGGTCCGGGAGGTGGTTCTCCCACGTCACGGACAGCGGGACCCCCTGCAGCGCCTCGATGGTGGGCCCCGGGAAGGTGGCGCTCTCCGCCGACGTGCCGAACACGAACACGGTCGTCGCCGGCAGGTCCCGGTGGAATTTCTGCTTGCGTGCATTGCGCGCGCACAGAAATACAAAAGTCAACTTTGAACAGCGCTACGCACACAACTTAGATATTGTAGATATAAATAAATATATCGATAGATAGATATAAATAAATAAATAAATACCCATTTCTTTTGGTACATGCCGATGGTGAGGTGAGTCGGCGTGGGGCGGCCGTGCTTGATGGAGTAGCCGAGGACCTTAGGCATCTGAGGGAGCACGTCGACGTACATTTCCAGCGAGGCGGCCACCTTCTCAAGGGTGTCCTCCGTTACCGGCGGCGGCCCCAGCCCCGGCCTGAACCCGGTGGCAGCGTAGACGGCGGCGACGAGGAGAAGAGCGGCGAGCTCTGCTCTGGCGACCATTTCGGCCGGCCGGGCGCTGTTGCTTTACAGGACTGGTCGACTGGACACCTCGATCTGAATGCAAGAGGCAAGACAGGAGCACGTTAATATAGCATCAGCGTTCAGGATGGGGATGGAGTCGAAATGGAAGACGCACAAGGATGACTAGTGCGTGACTGCGTGCACCGTGCAGGCCATCATTATTTGAGCCCGCCCAGGTAGTGCTATCTCGTGCTCATCTGCGGGCGCCGATCGGTGGACAACTTTTCTGAGAGGAGCACTAGCTAGCGGCAGTCTATTTGTGCATGCATATTGGCTGCCGCATGCATGTATGTCACAAAAATTGATGCTCGCACGTACAATCGCACGCATCAGCACACACAACTAGTGTTATGGGCAACTGGATATTATGCATAATCAAGTGGTCCGTCTAATGGAAATGGATCGGAACAAGCATTTGTAGTTACTAGGAGCATGTAGCGTGCCCTGCTACATTCCATTGAAGATTGTTTCTATAGTAGAGTATACTAATTAAATAGACACCATGACCGAACTGTTACCTCTTTCAGAATATATATTTCGGGCTTTTAATTTCTCAATCAATCAACCACCGCTCCACTTTCATGCATAACAATGGAAAAGGAATATATAGTACGTACGTAGAAATACTTTCTGACCTAATCACAGGGGTGTGTCTCTCGTACCGAACTTATATATCTTATACCATCATCCGTGCAAAAAGGTCACCAATATATGTCCGCTGCCTGATGTGACGTGAGGATAGTGCGCTAGGCTAGGCTAAACGCCCTGTTCGCTAGCAGTATTTTACTTTTTTTTTATCGAACGAACAATATTTTTACTCGTAACAAATCAGCATAAGTCAAATTTCAGCGAAACAAATAGATCGTGGCACTACTGGCCATTGGCCATAGTGATCCTATCAATATTGATCTTATATTGTCAACATATATAGGATCTTATATTTGCTTGTAAAAAATTAAAACAAGTTTGACATAGCCTAGCGTACGTAGATGAAGTTCTATTTGTGACAAGAGGAAGTATAGAAGACATTTCCAAGCTAACGACGTTAGACAACTATAGTTTACTACTCCATTAGTTCCGAAATGCAGGTCATTATAGTTTTGCATAAAGTTAAGCTTACCCGATTTTGATTGGGTTATATAAAGATACACCAACACCTTTAGCATAAAATCTATTCATATTGCATTCATTCGGTATTGTGAATGTTTCATTTCGTCCACAAATATAATGACTTATGGTAAATTTTGTTCACAAATGTACTAAGAGTTCCGAGTATTCCATCATTAGCTACCTGTCATTAGTTGTATCAATCAGGAATTGCCTAGTTGTTTTAACGAGGGGCATGAAAACTTTTCCCTTCTAGCTTCCAAGTATAGGCCGAAAAAATGAACCAAAAGAACCAGAAACGGAACTGAGAGATCGAGGAACCGAAAAAATCAATTCGCCACTTGGTTCCAGATAGCAAAGAACCGAAATGACCCTAGAAAGTTTGGTTCCTACTCTCGATTAACCAAATTAACCGAAATATGTGAAATACATGAATTGTACTTCACTTATTTGCATTGTAAGACTATGTTTGGTTTGTGTGTACTTTCATTATTATTGTCTAAAATAGAGGTAGTGTTGCCCAAATTGCTTTTGAACCTGCATTTTTTTGTTGTTGTCTTAACCTCTAGCGAAAAAGTTCAGTTAAAATCAAAACCGAATCCCAGAAACCGAAATGCTCGATTTCTAGAATTTCAAAATCGATCTGTTTCTATTTTCTAGCAACCAAATTTCTTCAAGAATCAAGGAACCGAAACAAAAACCGAATGTTCACCCCTATACTTTCAAGTCTTTGTTCTACGGACCTAGGAGCACGGAGTAATACGTTTTTCTCTGTAAAATTGATCAAAGGCAGCCCGTTCGGCTTACCCAGAAGCCGGCTTGTTTGACTTCTTTTTTCGTGTTTGTTTTTCTCTCAACAATTCAATTCAGCCGGAATAGTGTTTTTTCAGCCAGTTTCAGCCAAAGTAATACGCAGATTTTAATTTGAAACTGTCGGGGTAGCGTACTACTATGATACACTTTACTTTGCCTGGCTCAAAGATGAAGTCACGCTAGCTTGCTACAGTAGCTGCTTCACCGTTTCTATGTGTTCAATTGTTCCGTCAACTCGCCACACCGTAGCTGCGGCGGTGAAATCGAGCGCTAGACTTTTGGCGTGCATTAGTGTACCTAACCTATACACAGCGAGCGACGCCGCAGTCCTGGCAAACCAAACGCTATTGTGGCATTTGCTGTAGTTTTGGCAGGGCGCGGTGCAGCGGCAACAAAAACAAGAACCAACTCACCGTTTTGTGTACGGTCCGTTGATATACTTCAGCTGGAGGGGAGACTTGTTTATTGTCGCACTTCGATTGTGTGGTAATTCCAAGTGTGTTTTGGTTGATTTCGCACAGGAATCTGGAGACCGGACAAATCTGCGTGGACTTGGAAGTCCCGTCGTCATAAGTTGCCTGCGTTTTCGTTTCCTCGTCCTGTTTCCCGGCCCCCTGCTGTCATCCGGCCCCCCGTGTTTGTGCTCGAAGGAACTTTAATATTTGCCGATCGAGTTGGTTCCACGACCATGGAGCAACCAAATTGGACCCCAAACCAAATCGCAATTACTAATCCGAGCCCTGATTAGGCCCTGTTTGTTTCCGCTTATAAGCGGCTTATCGGTGGAAATAAGCGAGAATCCCGTCAAACGCTTTGCTTATTTCCACCGATTCTCGCTTATGTGGTAAGCCACTTCAAAGATTTGAACTACGAGAAGCGAAAAGCAAGAAGCGAGAAAATCTTCACTTAGATTATAATACAAGCGTGCCTGGGAGAAGTGGAAACAAACAGAGCCTAGGTGTGACTCCGAGTCCATAGCTGCCGAGCTGCGTCTCTCCGAAGTACCTAAGTCTGTATTTCGGAGTGCCGTAGAAATTGACAAAAGAAAATTTAAGTAAATTAGTTCGTACATACTACGGACGCGATGAGCAATGCCTAGACTATTTTGTTTGAATGCGTAATGGCTCAATTCATATATATGTCGTTGTACAAGAGATACTCTTAGTTGAAGACTTAATGACAAGCCGGTTGCTAGGGAGGCTAGGCATCCCTCGAAACTTAGGTACTTCGATCCCCGTCTCAAAGAGAAAGCAATTCTCATTTTGTAAGAAGTCAAACAATTTGACTTTAAGCACTTCTATATGAAGAAGTAACGCCTTTTATATTAAATAACTATCATTGAATTAATCATTAAGTATACTCTCATAGTAAATCTATTTGAAGACATAAATATTAATATTTCTTCCTATATAAATTATATAGGTCAAACTTGAGAAAGTTTCACTAGCCTCAATCCTAGAATTGCATTTTCTGAGGGTGGACAAAGGAATATCTTCTTCTTTTTTTAGTCTTACATACTGCATTCTTTTTGGGACCGAAGAAATGTCTTCTTTTTCCTAGGCTTGGCATGGGCAATATGAAGGAACAGAGATAAGCTGGCGATTCAGAAACAATTTATTCCTTCTAATCCAGATGTAGTGATTCACGCGAGTATCAAATTTCTGCAGATATGGATAGATGTTCTGGTCACAGATTATTATTTGCCTATGGTACCGATGCAAGCTTAGACCCTGTTCGGTGTCGAAAAAACGGCTGATACTGATGCTAATGTTGATTTGTTGTGAGAGAAAAATAATATTATTTTATTAAAAAGATACGGCTGATAAGTTTAAACGAAAAGGGTCTTAGCTTCCTAGTTCATAATCATCAAGAACTCCACGTGCGTCTGTTCCTATTCATGTGGAGCTGGATCTCTACGCTGACTTATTACATATATAATGGCCATGCTGATCGGAAGGACGAAATGAAAATGAAATGAAATTAAAACTGCAGTATATTATTGGTAATCAGATGAGCAGATAGATACAAACCAGTGCTGATGAGATGGTGGTGGGACAAATGCTTGCTGAAAACCTAGTATGGATCTCTAGCTGCCGACTTATTACAATATAAAGTATTAATTTTGGCTGACATGCTGATCGGCTTAGGACGAAATGAAAATGAAATGAAATTAAAACTGCAGTATATTACTGGTAATCAGATGAGCAGATAGATACAAACCAGTGCTGATGAGATGGTGGTGGGACAAATGCTTGCTCGCGGCAGAACCTAGCTAGAGAGAGGCCTGCAGCTGCCGAGTACGTACAATTGTAAAGTTGGTTAATTTTGGTTGACATGCTTGAACCAAGCTAAGCTACGGGCGCCCTATATAGATAGGCAACTATGAGGCCACACACACCCAAATTCCCAATTACGAGGAGCCATCCATCCAGGCCCGGCCAGTGTTTTATTTCGTTGTGATTATTAGGGCGCGTTTAGTTCGTGAAAGTTTTTGGGTTTGGCTAATGTAGCATTTTCGTTTGTATTTAGTAATTAGTGTTTAATTATGGACTAATTAGGTTTGAAAGTTTCGTCTCGCGATTTCTCGTCCAACTGTGCAATTAGTTTTTTTTTTCGTCTATATTTAGTACTCCGTATATGTGCCGTAAGATTCAATATGATATTTTGGGATAAAAATTTTTAGAAGGCCTTATTACATGGATCGCGTGGCTGTGTAAGCAATTCGAGGGAACTCTAGTCGGCAACCTCGCTCGCCTGGTACTTGCTTTAGGCTCACTGTGCGTAGCAGACTAGCAGTAGCAATAATCTGCTATATGCAGGTACCAGGTTTGCTTGGGTCTTGTTTAGATTGAAAAAAATTTAACTCAAATAGTAATCTTATTTGGTAAATATTGTCTAATCGGTACCAAAAGATTCATCTGCTTTCGAACTCGACTGCGATAGATGGAGTGAGAAAAAAATTGAAATTTTATCTAAACAAGTCTTGCTCGACTTCATTATCTAGTAGGACTTAGTAGGACCCGTCCTAAAATACAAGGTATGCATATATTTTAAAATTCAAATTTTGTTATCTTTGACTAACAAGTAGTCTAATTATATGTAATGTTTATACTACAAAAGTAGTTTTATTTAGATTTATATTTATAAATACTTTATAATGATCAAACTTTTGTTTCTATAAATTATATATTATCAGATAAATTATATGTCAAGATATATCTTTTAAGAGCACGTCAAGTCAAATCATGCCTTATATTTTGAGACGACCATGCCATTAGCAAGATGAACGCCTCACCTCTTTATTAAGCAATAATTAGATATTGCTAACTGAAATGAGATAGTGATATTAGCTGCTAGCCGCAGTTCCATGCTCCATTGAGCCTAATTTAAATAGATCAACCTGTTGATGGGAAAGGGCAGGCCGGCTTTGCGTGGTACCTCTGCCGTCAAAAGCGTGTGGCGCGTCGTTGCTTTGCTTGTGTTGTGTAAGAAAGGTTCATTCTTGTTTTTTTTTCGACTAAGAAAGGTTCATTCATGGAATGGGCTACCGACTCTAATATAGTCTAATTAGGAAAGATTTGTGCCAATACACCAATCATACTAAAAGATTTATAAAAAGAAACTAAGAAAAAAACGATGTTATCCCGCTGGTCGGGATCTCCAAACCCTTTTTTCAAATAAAGACACATACATTTAACGTCCAAAAAAATAATATAATTCTAATATAATACCGAGTCAATCCATTTTAAGCTTGATCAAGTTTATACAAAGAAATATCAATATATTTATGATACCAAATAAGTGTCATTATAGTCATCATGAGATATATTTTTTTCCAATGCTTACTAAAACGCTAGACTGTAAATAGTCGGACACTTGTCATTTAGTGTTTATTCGGGCCGCACAGTCAATTAAATGAGATAAACAGACACAGCTTGTTGCCGACTAGTGTTTAAATGGCGAGACAATTTTTACAGTATATCCATCTTATATTATAAATATTGGTAGTATTTTTTATAAATTTGATCGAACTTTAGACAATTTGACAAGAGATAGAGTCAGAATTGCATCCTTTTCCTGATGAATGTAGTATATAATAATATGTGAGTTCTATCGATAAAGATGCAGATTTTACTGCATGCCAGCAAAACTAATTTCGGGTTTAGAATAGTACTTCCTCCGTTCAAAAAAGAATGCAATTCTAAAATATTGCTACGTCAAGCAATTTAAAGTTTGACTAATTTATATGAAAATATACTAATGGCCTTGTTCGTTTCGCTGAAATTTGGCTTGTGCTGATGCTTACGCTGATTTGTTGGTGCTGCAAAATAGGGTGAATATACTTAATAAGTATTATTAGATTCGTCATAAAATATATTTTTATATATCTAGGTCATAGATGTTAAAAAAAATTCTATAAACTTAGGCGCCTTTTAGGACATGTTGTAAATGGACAAATGGTTAATCAGATTTGGTGTATTTCGGTACATGAGGTAGGGGCTTTTGCTTGCAAGTGGGTTTGCATGCCAATACATTTGTATCCCTACTTGTAAAAATGTAAAGGCAACTTCGACGGATGGTTTCTGCTAAAGCGATGTTCTTGGTGTGAAACCAAGCGCGACCCAAATCTCGGAGTCGTTGCAGTCACGCATGCCCGAAGTCAAGCTACGGATTCGCGCTGCATCCCGATCTTCTTCTCTTCTCCACGAAGTCAGCCTTCCAAATCCAGGGTGTGGCACTGGCAGCGTGCAATATGGCGCCATTGCCACTAAAAAATAGGCACCAAGTGCTGCATGGTGCACGACGCCAACGTAGTTTGCCTGGCAATCCGATCGTCGCCGAACTCGTACGTTTCGAGTCTGCGATTCATCTTGCTCTTCAAACAAGAACACTACTCTTATCGACGGGAGTAGCAAGCCTGATTATTGCTACGAAGGTAGGCGTCCCACTGGCAGCACAGGGTGTACTTCTTGGACTAGTATAGGATTGGGTACCATGCCAAGATCACAGGACTTGTCAAACAGATAACCATACACGTTTGATTTTATTTTATTTTTTGACAACAACCATACACTTTTGATTGTTCACCAAGATTCCAAGAACAAGCAACCCAAGTCAGATTATCTGATCAAGAATCAGCAGTCCTCCACGAGGATTAACAACCTGTTTGTTTCTTCGTAAACGATCGTAGATTATTTACTGCTGGCAGATTTGGTATGATAGAAAAATACTGTTCCAACTTATAATCCACGATCCTATACGAGCAAACGAACAGGTTGTAAGTTAACAACAGGAAAGTGAATACGACAAATCACTGAATTGCCGGGTAATTTTCTCCCACAGGTGTTTGTTCGTCAAACCAACAACACCCCGTAACGACGTAAATAGATGGATCTCACATCTCTGTTCCAGGAATTTCTTGGCCTGGTTCCAGTATTGCTGCCAACGATACCCTGGTATTTAAACACCCTGCAAGTTTAACAAAAACACCAACTGTACAGGGTAGCTCAGCTCCATGTATATCGAATAAATCATTTGGAGCCATATTTTCCAAATGTTTGACTGAAACAACAAACTTTGAATGTACATTTATAGGAAAACAGCCTGGTGATGGAGTCACCATCTTTCTGATGAACGAAGAAAACAGAGAAACAAAAACAAAAGTCCAAGTACAAGTCACTCAATGATCAGCTTTCTCAACTGTTTCTGTTTTCCCAAGGTGCTCGTATTGGTCGCAGTCGGCTCCAGTGTCCTTCAGGGCTGTAATCAGCCGTGGTAAAATCTTTGCTAGTGCAAGCTTGAAGCCAACAGAGCTCGAGTGCTCCTTGCTTCTGTCGGTGGGGCATGCGTCGTCACTGAGAGTGCCAACAACATTTCCTTGCAAATAGGCCTCACAAGCTTTAAGGATGTAGTGACCACGCTTGCAGAAGTGGCTCTTCACAAAATCCTCAAAATGCTGCGGTGTCATGCATTAAACAATTAGAAAATAAAGAGGTATTGAATAGTTATCTTAAACTAATCAAATTCTTTATTGGACCATATGAAGAGAAAATGACCACTAGATGCTTAAAAATTGGGATTTTCAAGATTTTATTCCATGCTCATCAATTCGGTGACAGAAAGGTAAAACATGGTTCAGGTAACAGATTAGGAACGCACAGGCAAACTGGATTAACTGGGTAAGTGCAATATGATTCTCAAGGGTAAGTTCAATTACCAAAGGAGGCCGTCTCAATATATACAGCATAGATTTCACACTCAGCAGGTATGTATTCTCATTATACGGCACTGCATTCTTCTCCCCTTCAGCAGTACCAACTTGCTTCTCATACCCAGCCTCATTAAAATACGGTTTTTCATTGAGAACCAATCCCTGAAGTGAAACTAGTACTTGGAGAATACTTGATGATGATTTATCCCACACTTCATTCCCTCTGCCAGTCCAAGTATTTAAGAGACTTAAGCAAACCTTCCCGTCCACATACAGGTTTGGATTTACACGCAAACCACCAGAATGATAGTATGCTGACTGCAGATTCAACAATGGATGCCAGGATGAGAAAAATGCAGCAATGTCAGCAGAGTTCCGCTAAATGTATTTATTTACAGTTTAAATATACAGCAGTTATGAAAACCAAAGACAGCATAGATGAAAGATGTAGTTGTTGCAATTACCGGAGGAACTTCTGGATACTCAGGTGGAAGGTGGAAATCAAAGAAGAACAGGCCATCTTGGTAGGGTGTTCCACTTGCTCCAACAATCACAGCTCTCAAGAGATCCATGCGATCCTCAAATACCCTGACATAAATATAGTCTACAAATGCAGTGAAAGGAACATCAGCAAATCATAATACGGTTGTCCTTGGTTGTTTTTAGTGTTTGTATTGAGTAATAGCAGACCTGGTAGGTTCTTCTCAAGTATGCTCCATTCCTGCTGTACCTTTTTGACCCACTTTCTTCCACCCGTACCCTGCCAGAACATTGTTTACCTATATGTAAGCAAGAAACCTCATACAGAAACATATTTGACTCCAGCAGTGAAATGCCAACAAAATATTCCCTCTAGCCACAAACAATTGCCATTTTGGAGATCAAAACAGTTGCCAAAATGCAAGGTTCCCTACTAACTTTTGTTCTGATATGTTAGAAGATACAGCAAAATTAGTCAATTACTATGTTTCAGGACAAGTTTACTCGCATTTTCAAATCTAAATAGATATGGATCGCTGAATTTTATATACCTCAACTACATGCAACCAGAGAAGTCAACTAACATATATACTTGTAAGTTTGTCCTAAGTGAAACCATGTTACGTTTGACCCAATTTATAGGAGAAAATAACATTTGGGACACCAAAATAGTATTATCATTAGATCAGCTATGAAATATAAATTTTAAGAATGTATTTGATGTCACAGATTTTTATTAATTTTTCTATGAACTTGGTCAAAATTCAAAATAATTTGACTTACTCCCTCTGTCCTGAATCATAAGGTACCCAAGCATTAAAAATTTGTCGCAAATTACAGGGATTCTAGGTGAAGTAACCTCCTAACTCAGTTTAAAAAGGCAGCACTCACATGCATACCTACCATTAATGTTTATACCAACCCAAATAGCTAATCATAATCCCTCTCCACGATTAAGGAAAGTTACATGCGTAATATGTCCTAGAAGTCCTACACTGTATTTCAGGACGGAGGGAGTCGGACAAACCCAGAAATAACTATATTTTGGACAGAGATAGTATTTAACAATGGAAGCAGACTACAGATGAATTGCTTTCATAATCAGCTAAAAAGGAAGAGTACTACAAATAAATAATACTCCCCTCTGTTCCAAATTGTAAGTCGTTCTGGCTTTTCTAGATATACATAGCTTTTGCTACCTACCTAGATATATATTGTGTCCAGATACATAGTAAAGGCTATGTATCTAGAAAAGCCAGAGCAACTTGCAATACGGAAGAGAGTAACATAAAAAATAGTAATGTGAGAATTCACCTGGGCGGTGTTTTCAAGGTAGTGGTGGTCTGGAGGACATTGCAGAACATCAAAGTGTTTGAAACATTCTGGATCTACAGGATTATCAGCCATGACCACGTCTACAGACTTCTCGACAGAAGAATCATTTTCTGTGACTGCAGCATGCTCTGGCAATTCCACATGATTCTCATTAATTTTATCAATGTCATCACCAGTTTCTGAAGCCTCATTAGACCGGTGAGACTCAACTTCATCCATAGCATCTGAGTTTGATGATCCATCTAAATGCCTTCTACCTCGAGCAAAGAGATCACTCGCCAGTCGGGTCACAAACCCAAAAGCAACTGAAAGGGGACCAGTTGCAACAGAACTTCCATCCTGGGAGCTGAATGAACCATTTTCCCTTTCAATGCTATTCTCAGGTACGTTTTGCGAATCATCCTGAAAGAGGATATGAATCATTAATATAAAGAACAAAAGGAAACTAAAATGTGTTTCGGAGATATATCTGAGAATAATTAATGATTATGTCAGACAGCAGTCGAGAATACCTTTGCAGAATCATCAAGTACATCCATTTCGTTGTCATTAAAAGTCTCCCAGCTAGCTCCATCAGAGGCTGTTCCATCATCTAGTGAGGCACCATCATCTTCACGACCAACAACATATATTTCATGAGGCCCAACCTGAAACAGCAGGAGATCATTAAAACAAATATAGGTTACGCATGAAGCTGCAGAATAGTCAAGTGAGGGTCAGGTCAGGTGGTAAAAGGAAATGATTAAGCTAGACAAGCCTGAATATATTTGACAAAGCAAAAGGATTCAGCTAACCATTTTTGACAGAATAAACTCCTAATGCTAGTTCACATAAATAATAGTGTTTAGCGCATTAACTGTGAAATACCTTTGAAATCGATCCATCACCCCAAATGACTTCAATCTCACCATCTTGAAAGCCAACTATATTTCCAGCCCATGAGAGGCTTGTAAACTGTGAGCAGGATTCCTTCTGTGAAAGCTGTTCGTCCGCACTAGTATCAGGGGGTGCATCATTTGAAGCAGCAAATCCTTCCGAGGAATCTACCGTCTTATCCAGTTCCATTTGGTCCTTGTTATTGGTTGATTCAATTACAGGTGAGACAGGCGGCAAGCGGACGACAATATCTCCATAGCAATAATCATAATCCGGATGGCCATCCAGTTCATATGCACTCACAACTTCATTATACCCGATCTCCATTGGCTCCTCTAGACGTAGCGAAGGCTTAAACCATGATACAGTTACTGTTCGGTCCTTAGCATTAACACGTCTAACAAGACCCACACGCCTTGGTTCAGAAGAATCATCATCATTTGTGACCTTGTCCACAACATACTGCTCCGGGAAGAAATCATGGTCATTTGGACTGTGGATAGGGATCAACGATGTTGCGGCTACTCCACATTCCTTTGTCCCGTCCTGCCAGACTACATCAACTTTGGTACAAGTATTTGCAATGAGTAGAGCTCGCTCAAAGCTGTCGTCTCTTTTTTTTGTTCTTTTGTCTTTTTTTAGAAACACTTTCCTAAACTTTTTTCTGGATGTTGCATTGTCCTGTGGACCCAACTTTGGGGTGCTTGATACACTAGTTCCTGTTTCTGATTCTTTGGCTATGCATGAATTATCTCCATCCGACATACTCAATCCATCTGCAGTAGAATCAACATCTGTCTGCCTGTGACCTGCATCTGTACCAGTAATTTGAACTTGTTCAGTCTGAACATCAGCTTGAGATTCTGGAATATCAGACAATGGAGCTGAGCTTTGTGAGCATGTACATATCTGCCTTGTATGCTTATCAGAATTAATCACGGTATCATTAGTACATGAAGTGTATCGGTGAGGAAGACACCAGTCAGTTAATTGCCAGTTTGCATGTGAGAAACAAGATAGAAGAGTAAGGTCCTTTGGGTCCTGCTCCTCTGGAGGAACAGGTTGCTGATCTGTAGCAAAGTGTGCAGATGCCATCCAATAGACTATAACAGCAGCACTTTCCACTTTTGTGACAGTACCTTCAAGACGACTTGCTCTCCACAATCCATTAAGCCACCTGGATGTTTTGAAAACAGATGATGACACTGCCTTCACACGCTGTCCTGGATAAAAAGGACAGGCTGTATCTGGATGAATTGGGCCAAATGCTGGCTTTAAGCGCATAGGATCTGCCCTATTAACTTTACAGACAGAGCCATCATCAAACAACACATTAACATTATCTAGCACTTCATCAACTCGACCAAGCCATAGCCCAGAGACGACATAATCACCCACATTGAATTCCCTGATTCGTCTCAAATACTTGGAAGATACACCCTTTATCGTATCGTCATTGGCACCTTGCAAATCAACCACAAGATTGACATCCAAAACAAGCCCCATCTGACCAGTTGGATCTGAGGCAGAGGCAACTAAATCTCCATGAAGGAAACTTCTATCAACAACAACTACCTCATCAATGTCTTCTGTCTTTTCACTACCATCTATCCATAACACTCGAACTTTGTCATCAGGCAAAGTACTCTGGCTTTCAACTTCAGCTCCATTACTAGCATTATCACCATCAGCACCACCATTTTCAGCTCCGCGAGCAGATTTATCTTTATGTTCCTCAGTATTAATATCATCATCAGTGATGCTACCTTCAGAATCATATTCCCCAGCTACCTCCAAAACTAATCCACGGACATCCTCCTTGGACTTCAAACTCACAACATCTTCTCTGTAAACAAAAACATCTCGTGCTTCTTCAGGCTCACTAGCATCCATGGACTTCTCATTTTCCTGATTATGCTCAGCATTATTTACTGAACCATTTGGTCGACTTTCCATGCTTGGAATCAAAGTAGATTCCGAACAATCAAGTAGCCCTCTATTCAACTGAAACACATACAACATGTTTAAGATAAGAAACATGAGGCTAAGCATGAAACTTGAGAGAAAAACAAATTTAAAAATCTTAACATATGCAAACATTTCCCCATGATTACTGCTATTGAATTCCACAAAAGCATGCAGATCACCACTTGTTTTACTGCTAGAATTTTTAAAGTAAGCCAATCACTCGTACCTAGTAGTTTCCTTTTCCTAACAAACAATATACTTTTCCTTAACACAAGGAACAAGCATGACAAGTGGAATGTACATGCAATGCAGGGTCCTAGCTCCAGCAATGCATTTCCATTAAAGTATCATGCGAGTGCAGTAAATACTTGCTGAAAAGTAGAATGATATGTTGCTTTACTTGAATATTAAATAATCCTAAATCCATAATCATCAAGAGGCCACAGAAAACTATAATGCAGTTATCTGTATATATATTGCATTTTATTTTGTGAACACGTATTTTGCACAATCTTTTTATATGCCTAAAAACTACAAGGAGCTCAAGAACTATATCCCTTGTGATAGTTTCATCAGTAAATAATGATGAAAATGTAAACATGGGAGTAACTTAATTCATGAAGACAAAATAGCAGTAACAGTTATGGAATTAGAATGGGATAGGCTACTCTTGATTCAGAAATTGAATTTCAATGTATTAATCGTGTAAACAACCTTGTCTGATCATAAACAAGAATTGACATGTTAGTGACCATTATTGCAACCACTCATGGAAAACAATCACAAGAAACGGATATGAGTTGAAGACTTCTATGAAGTTTTGAGAGGGGGAGGGGGAGGGGGGGAACCACACATGATGCTTATAATTGAAGAATAGGCAATTATAAGCAATATAAAAGCAAGAACTGCGACAAACAACCTAACAGGCTGAAGTGAGCATGGTGCCCATGCTCTTTTTCTAATCTAACATGGCTGTTGTTCTCGCCAATCCAAATCCAAATCAAACAAACGATTCCCAAAAGAGGCGTGCCATTGACCTTGTTCTATGTACTAGGAGACTTTGCAAGCAACCGAATATGTGCCAGAGTAAAGAGTCTGCAAGCAACCACCCATCTAGTTCTCGACGAAACCCCAATCCAACCAAGCTAAACCAACAGCTGGCCCACAGTCCCATTGCCCACCCTGCATCCGGCCATCCGGCCGCACTCGCCGGAACCGAATCGAGACACAGGTAAAAGCCTCATCGGCCAGCGGATACCCTACGATTGCCAATCCACGAACTATCGCGCCAAGATCAGGGGCGGCGCGGCCCTGGGAGCGCCGGGAAACCACGCAAGTCGAAAGCGGTCGATAGGGAGGGGATATGAGTGGGAAGTCATCTGGTGATGAGGGCGGACTGACCTCTGACTATCGGAGCGCCGGGGATCGACGGCTGCGAGATCAGCGGCGGCGAGACGGCGAGGCCGCGCGCGTGCCCTAGGTGAGGGTTGATGAGACGAGGCGATGGACAAAAGAGGAGGCGGAGGCGAGCAGCGCAGGAGACGAAAAAAATAAAAAAGAAAGAGACGGGGAAAAAGGGGAAAAGCAAACACGACCACGAACAGGACTTGCTCCTAGAGGAGAAGACACAAACGGGGGGAGAAGGGTCTCGAGTTCTGGTCCGTTTGTGGCCCGGTTCGGCCCTCGTGGATCGTGGTCGTCGTGGACTCGTGGGGGTAGACGGTTTAGCTGCCTGAGATGAGAAGTGGGGTTATGCACTTATGCTGTTTTTTTTTTTTTGAAGAATCGGGTTATGCTGGCTTGCACGGTAGCATATAACTTTTACTTTTTTATTTTTATTTTTTTCGCACCCTCACCCCTATGAACACACGTGCACAAACCCTACCGCTATGAGCACCTCCGAAGGACCGAGCCGGCTAGCGCTGTTAAATCCTGAAATAAATACAGGAAAATAGAGCACCCGAGCCAAGTCGAGAACTTGAATTCGGATGGACAGGTTCCACCACAAGGAGCCTAACCAGCTGATCTATGAGCAGTTCGTAATTTTTATTTTTTATATTATATTCTTTTGCTCAAATCTTGTTTTTCTTTGTACTTTGCATATATACAGTATACTCGTGGAATGGATACAAATACCATGTTGATGGTATGAAAATCTGGATAGTTCTACAGCCAGCACGGCTTTTCCGTTTTGTGCCAACCAGGGTTCAACAAAACGGCTTCACCAATAAGCCTCTTAAATGATGCTCTCATAAAGATTTTAAGGTAGGATGGAGCTTTACTTTCACCTATATTATATTTTTTGAGAGAGCATGTCAAATCTTGTTTTGAAGTTGTTTTGACTTTTACATATATACAGTATACTCGGAGTGTTCAATAGTGGATAAAAAAATATTTCACCATGTTGATGGTATCGTGAAAATGGGCTAATATATTATCTTTAACAACAAATTGAAGACGTTTTTCTATACACGATGCACGAAAACTAAGATTTTGTTTGCTTCACTTAAAAAAGACAAGACAGTAAAATGAAGAGAAAGATGTTTTCTTCCCACGCATGCAGTTCAAATCTCTAATGCTATTCCTATTCGTGATGTTTCTCAACTTAGATCTTTCACGGCCATTTTCATTACTGCCCCCATTTCAAATTTCAAATTATAACACGTTTTGATTTTTTTTATATATAATTTTTGTTATACACTTATGTACACACTGTGTCTACACACAAGCTCAGCTGCGGCTGCGGTGTTTTCAGTCTTATGCTACAGTGCTTACCAGTGGATGAAAAGCAGCTGCATTTGGCTGCAGCTTCAAGTTGAGATAGGCCCAATGTGTCTGCAAAGCCAAAATCGTCTAATTTGGAACGGAAGAGTATATATAAGATAAGAAAAGAATGAGATAGGCCCAATAGTCTCCGCGGTTTACGTCTGAAAATACCGGACACTGTCACTTCATCAGTCATCAATGGCATCGGATAAATTATGGGATGGAATTGGCATAGGTCCCAATCCAGCTCTTGTTCTTGCCCTGTGATGGGGGAGAACTCTATGCCATATGAAACCAAAATACCGATGCTTAACATTCAAAAAAATACCGATGCTTTCCTATATTCTCACACAAGCTTCAGCGTCAAAATATAATCCTAAGCAAAAGAGAGAAAAATAAACATCAAGAAAGTTATTCTATTCCAATTCCAAGCTGCAAGTCATGTATTACTTCTTGCCTTGGTATCATTCGAAAGAACACATGGTTGCAAATTACAGGCAGCAGCTAGAGGCATCTGTAGAAGGCATATGGATTACTTATGGGTATGATACAGGTAGGTGCAAGGTGCAGAGGAGTAGAAGTAGATGAAAGCACAATCAACATTCGTGAAAACTTGCACCAAAGCGAAGTCAATTATTAACAACAATTTCAGGGACCTGGGGGAGAAAAGCAACAACAGTATCCCTATATTCTCATATCTCCTAACAAAATCAGATGCAGGGATACACTTACAATTACAAATGAGTCTTTCTTACTGAAAAAAAAAACAAGCGAAAATAACACAACTCAAAAAGAATTGTAAAGGAAATTTAGAGCACAAATCGCAGAGAAGGCAACAACGATGCTATGGCCTGTGAGTAACAGCCACAACAAAACACAGAAAAAAAGAAGTTTATTCCAATGAACAGCAAAGACATTCTCAATGCACACCAGAATAATGAGTAACCTATTGCTGTACCACCTTCCAAACACGAATGCAAGCGTCCTCGCCTGCAGTCACCAGAGTATCATTCTCCAGGAAGGTTAAACCATGAACTCCACCAAGATGGGCTCCCTTGATAGTGACGCGACTCGCTGCTGGCTTGTCTATCTCGTAGACAATTGCACAGGTGTCCAGTGAGCCAGTGGCAACCAATCGACTGTCAGGTGACCAAGCCAGGGAGTTTATCCTAGCTGTGTGGTACAACATGTTCTTCAGCTTGACCTGTTGAAGAAAAAAATATTATGATTACTGCAACCCAAAATATTGAGTGGAAAATAAGTCAGTCGAGCACATGAATTTCATGTAAAGAGGTAAAGGACATTGCTCAACTGAAACACACTGAATGAAGTTTAGAGAAAGAAAATCATACAAGGGGCACCTAACCTTGAACTCTCCTTAGATTAAGGGAAATATATTTTCAGCAATGTAATTTGCAACAGACCTTGCATTAAATGGTTTTATTTTACCATCAAACTAATGAAGATTACAGGGGTATGAAATGATTATGAATAAAAAGTATTTAGTAATCAAGAGACAGTTTTAATACTTTTGATGTGACATGGCAGGGAAAGGCAAGGTGTATTGAATCAATTTGCTGCATTAACCACAAGAAATATCAACAAAAACTCCAGCAAACTATAAACTGGTGGAGACAAAATAGCAAAAGTGGCAAGTGTGCGTTACCTGACATGTTTAAGGGGAAACAATTCATAAGTAGTAACAACAAAAACTTGACAGTCCAATATTCATCATTTTACAACTGAAAAAAAAGAACTAATTGAAAACTGACAGTACCTCTCTACTTGCCCGATCCCACACAACAGCTTCCCTGTTGGAATCAGCAGAAGCAAACATAGAAACATCTGGCGAATAATGTATGCAAGTGATAGCGCCCCGGTGCTTCTCAAGCAGAGCTTCTTCTGTAAGCGTATCGCCACTGATGGAATAGATTCGCAGTTTCCCATCTTGAGCACCCACAACAGCTTCTGTGCCATCAGGAGATACCGAAGATGAAGTGATGGTATAGTTAACTTTGGTTGTAGAAATGACTTTTGAGTTGTGCAGTAATACAATGCCAGAATCAGTAGTGATCAGTGCAAATTCAGGTTTCTGAATTGCAAGGTTCAAAGCATTTGGCTGACCGCCTACATCAACTGACTCAGCATCTCCACACTGGTCTCCATTAAGAGGAATTCTGAAGACCTGATTTCAAGGAGAAACTATAAGTTATCATAATAACTGAGCCTAACCAAACTTCAGCACATGAAAAAGAATATCCATCAATCAAAAAAGAATATGAATTCAGTATTTGATTTCATCAGTATTATGAGATTATAAAAAGAAACGATTCATTTCATAATTACTGACATTTCAGGATTTACAAATCAATTGCCAGACATCGAGTTAATCCTCTAATCATGTCTTTGGAAAAAAAATGAACTTTGTAAATATTGTCCTAAAGAATGATGGAGCCTGTGGCCCTTTCAAGCTATCCTGTTTAACCATAGAAACTTCATCTGGCAATTCACAAATAGATAAGCTTACAGTCAGTGTTCAATGTTGAGATTTGTATATATTATCCTCTTACAAAATCACTCAAAGAAAGCAGACGCCTGGTCTATACGGGCAGATGTGAGACATAGGTTCGGCAAGGAGGAATAGATCAAAGAAAGCAGCTCAAAAGCTCCAAAGGGAGGGTGAGCTAACTAATCTATCTAGCTGTTCTTGAATCAAGTGCCCGATCAACCGACCATATCATACGAGTTAAAACTCAAAATGCTAAAGCATCATTATTTTAATACATAGCATATACACAACTATTGCCCCCTTGGGAACCTATAATACCAGCAAGAGAAAGCAGTCAAGATAGTCTAAACCCTTGACCCTTCAAATTAGCAGGGAATTTAAAATAACCACATTTTTTGTACCAGCCCAAAGGAACAAGTCTAATCTCATAAATCAAAACAAGCCCTAGATAAAGATTTCTGTTTATCCTTAATAGATATGGATGAATACTAGTCATATGAGCAACCTTTTGATTTTTCTTACCTTATTATCATAACCTGAGGTAACAAGCTCTTCTTCTACTGCAGCAAAGCATTTTATTTGAGTGTTGTTTTTGCGTGTCAATCTGCCACCAAATCCAACACCCTGTATCCACCTCATGATGACACCATCATAGCTAGTAGATAGTATAGTTCTTGGGCTACTTTTAGGAAAGAAGACCAAAGAACTAACAGTCTTCAAATGTCCTGCAAATGTAACTGGTTCTTGGTCTGGGTTGCTTGCAGAGAACACATTAAATGTCCCACCAAGAGAGACTGTCACGAGATGGTCATTCTGCCAGAGACAACCAACAAGCATATCATCCACACCTCCTATACCAGGGCAAGCCAAAGTTCGATTCAATTTCCCACTTGCATCTTCCATGATATCCCATACTTTCGCAGATTTATCAGCAGAAACTGTTAGAACCTAAAGGCACCGGTAAAATAAGAGAAAACCATTAGAAGCGAATAAACACTTGAAATCATATGATATTGCTTAGATAGGCACACATAGCCACGTAGGTCATGAGCACCAAACATCCATTGAAAGGAACTAAAATGCTTAAGTGTGATGCTACAAAAAAGTACATTTGAAGGAAAAAGATAAGAGGTTCATAAAAAAATGAGAACATGCATATCCTAGATACAGGCTAGATCATTATGTGATCTTGGATGAAATCAAATACCTTGTTGACTGTGCAGTATCCTTAAAGGTGGACCATGTTATACGTTTTATCAAGCATATTTTCTGAATTTGTGTGTTGTTCCTCAATCATGCCTAACAAATAATTCTACATCTAATCTAAGACAATCTAGGTACACTATAAACAGGACATTGAGTACTATGACATGAGAACTAAAAACAGAGAACAATTAATATCAAATTACCTGTTTACTGTCAGGACTCCAGCTAACAGCATATATGCTCCCTGTATGACCGCCTTCAGTGGAAAGCTCTCCTATCTTTTCTCCAGTTTTGCCATCATATATCAAACCCTTCTTATCAGAACTCACAGTGATAAACTTACTACCATCGGGAGCATAACGGATACAGTTAACAAAATTTGAGTGATCCCTGAAATGCAAAGTGAATTGAAAAATGTGAAATATGTATCCCAGGTGCCAGAAGTAAATACTGCTACAGTATGATGCATAAATACATAATGAATGACAACTGAAAGAAGTGCTTGCAAAATGTGCAAAGCATGTAAATCAATAGGAACATTCTACTTTGAATGCATGGAGCAGGTGCAGGACAGAGCATCTATGTACTTGAGTCACTCCAATGTGTGTCAGCTTCAGTTTGCCATACTGGAGCATAGAATCAGTATACAGGAACAAGCCTACAGCTATTGAAAAACCTTAATTATGCAAGAAACAACTGCAATTTCTGCATAGGTCAAGAAGTAAACTAAAAAAGGAAACAACATCGCTATAGGTGTTGAAAACATATCCTGCAGTAACCAAAATTTGTGTCAGACTCCGATTGTCTTTTCTGTCAAGTGTTTAAGCTATATATAAGTAAAGTAAACACCACATATTGTTATGGAAAACTAAAGAAAAAATGAAAAGAAAAGGTAAAGTATATTAGGATAGGTTTGAGTAATCCACATCAGATGTGTATATCTGGCCCATTGGCAAAAGGTAAGCAAGATCGTAACAAAACAATTATGGCAGGAGAGCTAGCTATACACTGTTAGGTAGGTCTAGAAATCAGCAATGACTACTGACCTTATGGAATGCTTGAATTTGAATGGTGGTCCTTCATAAAAGTTAGCCAGAAAATCTTCACCACATGTCACAATGCGAAATGGACGTGTTGGCTTGAAGTCACAGCTCAGAACCCTCTTTGAGTGCCCATCAAACTCACCAACTGTGCTGCCAGAGTCCCACCTACATAATGCAAAGAACTTAAACAAATATATGAAGAAGTGAAAACACAAAAAAAATTAGGGTAATCATTATGGTCCACGCCTGTTCCTATGAGGTATGATTTTTCTTCAATTATGTATTACTTATTATTATATGAACTCAATGGCAACCAAATAATCAACATTAAATCAAACAACAGTACATGTATAGTCTAACCTAATGCAAATTGACGGTGATGCTTAATCTGAAATAAGAACAGATGGAAGTTTCAAGGACCGTGGCTGAGATAACTGGACCAGGCGTTAGATTTCCAGTGCGTGGGGCTGAGATGCGTGACTGGAGCAGGGGTTGTCCTGGAGGGCACCAACCAAATCATCCTGATTTCAACAAATACTTCATCCAATTCATAGAAGCCTGAACAATCCATGTATGTGGGGACAAGGGCTATCCCGTCATCCCTCGAACGGCCATAGGCCAGATCACCAGTCAATGGCTAATCCCCAGTTCGAATAATCGAATCATATCATTTTCTGTGCTCTCTCCCGAATCCCGATCACGGCCATCCCACAAAAGGGCGGCACCATTGGCTTTCCCCTAACCTCCGAATCCTTCAAATGAGATCGAGATGGAAGGGAGAGAGAGAAGAGCGTGTAAAGTTTGTACTCACACGAATGCGCGGACGAAGGACTTGCCCTTGCCGTCCCCGGAGACGACGATGCGTAGGCCGTCGGGGGACCAGCGGAGGTCGTCGACGCGTCCCGAGAGGGGCCGAAACTCGGCCTTGAGCGCGCGGTCGCCGTAGCGGCCCCAGACGCGGACGCAGCCGGAGGCGTCGGCGGAGGCGATCCACTCGCCGTTGGGGGAGAAGCGGGCGACGGTGGTGGGGTAAGCGTGGTCGGGGTAGGCCCAAGCGTCGAGGGGCGCATCGAGGCGGCGGATGATGACGCTGCGGCCCGTGCAGTAGGCGATCGTGTCCGTCTTGGAGTCCCCGGCCAGGAGGATCCCACGGCCGCGCTCCGTCGCCGGCGAGCACGCGTACGTCTCCACCAGCTGCGCCATTTTTGTTTCTCCTTGCGTCGCGTGATCTGAGGTCGCGAGAGGGAAGGGAGTGGTGGAGGCCGAGGTGGACAGGTGGTGGTGCTTATACGGTTACCGGAATAATCGGTGTGTACGAACTAATGCGTTCCGTAACAATTTCTCTCTGCTGTTTGACAGGCGGGACCCAGCTTATATTGGACCCCGCACGTCAGTGAATCATCAGGCTACCTTGCCTGCCACACTAGATTTGGCATTGAAGCTCGATCGGTAAATGGAGGTTTGACGATGCCGAACTACGAGCGACAATACATAAGTTCTTTAACAATACACGATGCGAGGTAATGAGAGGCTTTGTAGGAGTACGGGGGTTGTGACTGGTGCAATGTGCACGGCAAGAGATGACTAACGATGTATAGTGCAAGGACTCGGTTCCTGCAGCAACAGCCACAGTTGGATATATACATGTCTAGACAAGTGCACGAGCAAAGGACAACACGCTTCATATAAAAATGGTTTCATATTTTTGTGAGATAAAACAATTTTTCTAAGGTAAAATCAGATTTTAGTATTTTTACATGCATATTTTTCCTAGAATTTTTCTTGGATTAAAAAAACAAAATCTACATTATTTTTGTTAAAGTTTAATTGACTATCGAGAAAATTTGATTTATTTTTCTCGTGGCTAACTTGGTGCCATGTCAACCAAAACCATTTTTAGAAAACGCTCAATGAGTAAAATGTGCGGTTTAAAAATTCAGAAGAATCTAAAAATATAGTTTCTGATTAAGGGAGACAAGTCGAACTTGCAGAATACTTGAGGAGGCAAGATGTACCTTTTTCCTTGCTATATACTCCCTTTTTTCTTAGAAAAATATAATTATGGGATCCGTACCAATCAAACAAATTTAATCTACTAAGTTTATAGGAAATATAATTAACATTTATGACTTTAAATAAGTTTATTATAAAAATACATTTTGTAATCTATCTAATGGTACGTATTTTGTATTACAAATATTAGCATTTTTCACAATTTGGGTCAAAGTTTAAATCATTTGACTTTTCAAAATGAATTATATTTTTTAGAAAAATGAATTATATGTTTTTTTGGAGAAACCGGGTTTGTATTCATATATATTTCATAAAGTTTACATTCCAAGACTTGCAAAGACACCCTTGAAGAAAGGAAAAATTACAACATAGTCCTTGCACAGGCATCCTTCCGGTCGTCCTCGTCACCGGTCGTCGAGCAACTTGGAGCTTGAAGCCGACCTCCATCTCGACGATTAAACACAAGCTTTAATTGGCACCAAAAGCAGTATGTCGAAATCAACGACATACTTTGTGACCGCTGAACGCCCAGGCCGAAAAAAGATGGCAGTCGGCCATCACATCGTTGGAGTACAAGGAATCTGGCGCCTCAAGAGCTACCAACACTCCCCACGCGCCGGATGCGCGGCACACCCAGAAGGGGAATGAAACCACCAGAGCAGGTGGTAGGTAAGAACCAATCCGGTTTCACGACGAGTCGGTAGACATACCTCCCAAGATCTTCGCTAGAGGAGTTCGCCGGAGAAGATGAGGGAGAGGCAAAAGGCGAACTTGACCAGATCTAGAGGAGGGATAGAACTCCAGATCCGCGAGCTCGTGCTCTTCACTGGTACGGTCACCACCAGCGAAGTCGGGGAAGCCATCGTAGATGTCGGAGCCGTCCTCCACACGTCCACGCCGTCGCCCGTTGGAGACGCTGCCTAGGAAGACGAACCCACGCGCACACCGTCGGCATGGGGAAACCTAACCCTAACTTATTTAACCTAAACCTAATAAGTACGGGTATATACAAATCCTCCGTCAATTCATCCATCCCCGCTCCTCCTCCGACGCCGGCAAGGGTGATGGAGGTGAGGGCGACGGCGAATCGACGGGGGAACGCGAGATCGCCCCTGTCGCCACTCTCAATTGTAACACTTTGGAAGGGACGAGAAGCTTGGGACGAAGGGGATAGATAAGCATGTGAAGCCCATATGCAAGCTACACCAGGTCCATACCATCATCAATGAGGCCCATTATCATCAGCCCACGGCCTCTTCCCGAGCTCCAGCCGTCGTGTGCGCCTCCGCCTGCCGCCTGCGCCGCGTCTGGCGTATCTGCCCCTTCCCGCGGCCAAAGGCGTCGTCCCCCGCCGCGTCTTCGCCCGCCGGACGCAAAGCCACCGCGGCCAGCCCCACGCGGACTGAGGAAGCCAAGACGGCGCCAACCGCTGCCACAGCAACTTGCCCGCCGACTCTTGAATCCACCGAGGGACCTAGGTAAGGATCGACGCTTCAATCCCATTCCCATCCATTGCGCCAACTCTGCTCTCCACCCTGACACGATTTTCCTTCACTTTGGTCTTTGGATATCGGTGTCAGGCTTCCCACCTATTCATGTCTCGCTGCCTCGTCGCCCGCCACTTCCTCCCGCATCTCCGCCTCCGCGCGCCTCGTCTCCTGTCTGTTCCACCGCCGACGCTGGGCATGCTTACGCGAGCTGTCGGAAAACTGTCGTTTCCTCCGGTTCAGGCGCCTCAAAGTGCGGGCTGTTCGAATTCGATCGCTTCCTCTTCCCCCTTTTGTCTCGTCTTTGGCGATGAATGATGTGAGTTTAGTGTGATGGAGCACGAGGGGACGCATGCATCATTGCCAGCACCTGCATCTGAAAACTGCATAGTAGCATTTCACTTCATAACCGTGGAGTGTCTGATCGGTGTGTTTGGTTCGAGGAATGGGGTGGTCCATCATCTTCTCACTCCTCACTTTTTGTATTTAGTTCGTGGAATGGAATTAGATGATCCATCACCACCTCATTCCTAACAAGCTAGCTAATAATTAGTATATGCACGAGGAATGAGTTGGTTCACCAAAATTCATGGGATGAACTCATGATGCATCACCTCATGATGCATGGGGTGACTCCACAAACCAAACACACCCTTGAGTCTATTGATTGGGGCCATATGCTGTAGTTACTGTGTGCTCAGTGCACGCCTAAGTTTGTTGTGTGCTTGATTGTGTTTACCTGATTTGGGGAAAGAAGCTATAGAACTGAAGTCTACCACTATTGCTCTACACTGTATGTTTCCTCTTGGGGAAAAATGAGTATTTCTTAAGATTAAGACAACGGATTTTTTTTTCTCTCGAATGTGCAGGAGAGCTGCTTGTCGTCTCATTGATAGATAGAAAAAAAAAATCCCATTACGGCCCCGTTTGGCACGGCTCCACTTCACCCATGAAGCCCTTTTTTGGGACTTCAGCTCCATGAACAGCTCTATAGGTGGAGCTATAGCTGTTTTGATAAATCGTTTGGCAAAACAGCTTCACATATAGTTTTTCTTAAAATATGCTCTCAGAGAACGCCATGTAGAATGAGGTGAAGCCGAGAGAAGCCACTATTTTTGGCTCCTTCCCACTTCAAAGCTCTGTAAGAGCACGTTTTTAGGGGCTTCATCGGTGGAGCCGTTTTATTTTACCCCGTTTGGCAGAAAACGCTCTAAGCGGCTCCTGAAGCCGCTAGAGAAGCCCTGCCAAACGGGGCCTACAAGTCGATTCCACGGCTGGGGTTCAGACAACAGAATATTGAGATTTTTAGATGCAGAGTACGCCAAAACCTCAGCACTTTGTTCTTTTCTGGCAAAGTGGATTTACACTACTTGGGCTTTCTTCTTTTCTGGCAAAAGTGGATTTACACTACTTGGGCATCACCCCCCGACTGATTTGTTTATTGCCATTCATTGTTGGGCCATTATATATGCTCCAGAGAGTCAGTAGTTTGTTTGAAATCTTCTGTTGCTTCATTTTTTTTTCTCGAACAGCGCAGGAGAACTGTGCGTCATTTCATTAAGGTAGAGAAAGAATTACAAAGGTCCAAGTGACCCAACACACACCCCACTCCTCAGAACTAGGTTCTTGACTCGCCACACAAAAAAAGAAAAAGGACGACCAAACTTCTCCAAGCATTAAGCTCGTAGAAGGCAACAACTCGAAAACCAGCTCTGGGTTTGGAGGCCCCTGCCGAGCACCAGAGCCCACCCTCCGAGCTAATAGCCCTAAGGACTTCTTGAACACTTGGCCTCTTATTATCAAAGACACAAGAATTGCGATGCTTCCAAATCTCCCAAGCCACCAAAATTATCAAGGAGTTGAGGCCTTTACGCAAATCCTTAGGGACACCATTGATTGTTCTCTTCCACCACCACGAGAAACGAATCACGATGAGGTTGTGGTGCCAATCTGTAGCATTCCCAACCGATGCAAAACCAGGGCCCAAACTTACCGGGCAAAAACACACGACCCACTAGCAAATGGTTTATTGTTTCATCCTCTTGATCACATAATGGGCAAACCTCGGGATGGGGCGATTCCTCCTTGCAAGTCTATCGGTTGTGTCCGCACCGGTTGTGAAATACCAACCAGATGAAGAACTTGCGCCAGCGGAGGAGCCCAAGTTTTCTAGATCCTTCTCCAAGACCCAAACTTGATGGTTCCCTCAAAGAAGGCTGCATAAGTGATTTCTTGGTGTAGGAACCATCCCGAGTTTAATTTCCATCTATATTGATCTCGAATCTCCGGATGCAAAATAAATCCATCCACAATGTCCCAAATACGAAGGTACTCAAGCATGACCACAACTATGCGTGCTCCTTTAATATCCTGAACCCAACTATTATGATGCAAGGCTTGTGCCACCGTCCTTCTCTTGGCTGTTCGATTTGGGACTGCCTTGAACAGGTTAGGAGCTATTTCAGCCATGATATGCCCCCCACCATCTATCTTTCCGAACAATATCTCCTCTCCATTTCCTACTATGGCATCGATTGCAACATTGAAGAGAGCCTCGGCTTTATGAGGAACAGAGATAGGAAGGCCGGCCCAAGGCCTTTCAAAGCATCTGTCTTTTGCGCCCACACACCACCGAATCTTTAGTGCACATCCCGGAAGTTCAAGATTATGAATCCCAAGACCTCCATACTCAAGTGGTCTTTGCACCTTTTCCCAAGCTACTAGGCAATTGCCACCATTGGCTGTCTTGGTGACCCTTCCAAAGGAAGCCTCGCCGTTTTTTTGTCAATAGCCTTAATCACACATTTTGGAAGGTCCAGGGCAGTTAAAAGGTATATTGGGACAGCAGTTAGCATAACCTTCACCATGACTAGCCGCCCACTCTGCTCATAAGAGAAGCCTTCCATCCAGGGAGATAATCTGCCACTTTATCCACTAAAGGTAACAGCACCTCTTTAGTTGGTTTTCCAATTGAGAGCGGGAGGCCAAGATACATGCAGGGAAAAAACTTTATAGAACATGAGAGGATGTCTGCCGTGAGAGCCAATTCCTCATCAGTACAGTGAATAGGGGAAACTGAGCTCTTAGCTAGATTAGTTCTAAGCCCAGAAGCATGTCCAAACAGATCTAGGAGGTGCTTGATGGTGATCAGATCCAAATTATATGGTCTCAGGAAAATTACCGCGTCGTCAGCATAAAAGGAGACCCGATGCCTTGCTTGCTGAATGGCCAGAGGCTGCAACAAACCCATCGAAGTAGCGTGATTGACCAAAGAATTTAGGACATCCATAACTAGAATAAACAACATTGGTGACAGCGGGTCACCCTGTCTGAGCCCACGGTGATGGAAAATAGAGTCCCCAGGCTCTCCATTAACCAAGACTTGTGTCGAAGAAGTGGACAGGATCAGACAAATGAGGTCCCGCCATCGCTGACCAAACCCCACCTTGCACATGACCTCCAAGAGAAACGACCAAGACACAGAATCAAAAGCCTTGGAGATGTCCAGTTTAAGGAGGATATGCGCCTCTTTCTTCTTATGCAGGGTTTTAACCATCTGTTGGACCAGCATGAAATTGTCATGGATTTTCCTTCCTCTCACAAAAGCGCTCTGATTTGCAGAGATCAAGGAAGGCAGCATAGGGGCTAGCCGATTAGCCAAGATCTTCGTCACCAACTTGGCAAAGCTATGAATCAGGCTTATAGGTCGAAAATCCTTCACTTCCACTGCATCCACTTTCTTTGGTAGCAGGGTTATAAAGGCTGTGTTCAAGAGCCGAAATTTGAAGGCATGGCCTTGCTGGATGGCCTCCAACGCCCTCATCACTGTTGCTTCATTTGAAGGATGGTAACTTGCCAAATACCCCCTCTGATTCCAAATGTAGGTTTAGGTTGTTTAGGACAGCGACACAGTCTCAAATGTGACACTTTGACTTGTAAAATTTATTAAAATATACCATTTCTGTTATCGAACATACAGCAGAGCTGTTTGTCTTTGTATTAAGAAGGATAAAAACGTACCATTTCAAATAATGAAAATTATATATTAGAAAAATATTTCCATGATGAATATGATAAAATCAACCATGTGTTGTGAATCTATGTAACTCATTATCAGTGGTCCAAGTTAAAAACGTTTGACTGGATAGAATCCTAAAACAACCTACATCTGGAATTGGAGGTAATAGTAGATGATTTAACACAAGGTGCATTGGTTGATGTTAAGGTGGTCGTGGAGGCAAACTAATAGTTTGATCAGTCTAGAATGGTGTAGTTATTTTGTCAAAATGTGAAAATGGATAAATGAACCTTTAGGGAGTACAATTTATACTGAAGGGAATTTCTTATCCAGGAACCCGATACTTTGCTGACGATCGTTCACACTACGATCTGTTTGGTAAAAGAAGGCCTGGGGATGAAGAGTTCAGAAAAGCTTGGCAGGAGGACGTAGATGAAGAGGACTGTCTGTGGACAGGTAGTGAAGATGATGACAACGACGAAGAGAGTGATACAAAACTGGAGAGGGAAATTAAGAAAGTGAAGAGGCAAGCCAAGGAAAATTCAAATCTTATTGATGCTGATGACAGTGACGAGTTAAGAAGTATATGCCCTGAGAGTGATGAAGATGATATGACTCTCTGGAGTGGCAGTGAAGACGATGATGACGATGATATTCCCTCCGAAGCACATCCTAGTGAACGCAGTGATTCATATATTGATAAGGTGTTTGAATTTGACGAGTCACCAAAGTACCGCACAATCTCAGAGCTGTTGAAAGCAGAGAATGAACCACCTGAGCTATCTCCGGGAAAGCAAGCAAGAAAACTTGCCATAGAAAATGCTCTTAAGAAGTTGAAGAAAGGCCCTGATGGACGCTACATTAACGTATTTGATGTTGTTACTGATATAGATATCCTGATTGGTGCATTTGAGAACATTGTTTCAGGACCAGAATATGCAGAGCTGCGGGAGGGTGGACCAAAAAAGCTCAATATACAGTTCTTTAAGGATATACAAGCACGCATGAGGGACCCAAATTTCAAGTTTTCTCCAGAGTTGAAGTTAAAGCCAAAGAGTAAATTAGTGTCTAGGAAAAAGTGGCAGAAAGCCAAAGCTAGGAAGAGGAAAAATGACAGACGTTGAGGTGATTGTACCTCGTAATGTATTCATCTTTTTTCCCTCACATCAGAATGCTTTCTTCAAATGGTTCATGTACAATGGATATGCTTGGTGTGATGGCACAAGCACTTCAAGAAAAACATAAATGTTCATATCATTCACATGTGATGTCTGTTCTATTTGGCAATTGAGAGTTCTGAATTGCGTAGTCTATCTGAGTCCAGCAAGAAGCAGGGAGTATGATTCTCTCCGTTCACACTGGAGTGATGCGAAGTTTGTGTACAACTCAAGTCAGACTTGAAGTTTCTCTGTTGTCTTCACTCTTCAACACATGCATGTCTTGATATTCTCAGTTGTTTCTATAATTAAAGTCGGCAAGGAAATGATATGCTCAAACTGTTGATTTTGCATGGTTTCTCAGTTTCTCTTGTATCTGAGGTGAATAGCTAATGTCCTTTGTAATGGTTTCAAGTTATATGAGTTGGACCAACTACATTATTACAGTACCAGATTTACCACTAACCTTTGTGGTCGTACTTGTTGACTTGGTGTTGATTGACTAACCAATATATCAGTAGAAGCTTTATACAGCTGTCATGACAAACTAACAGTTTATTTTCCCTGATAGTTCCATAGGACATAAATTTGTTTCTTTGTATTGTTCGAGTGCACATGTGCAAATGCCTGCAAATGACAGATCTACACTATCATCTTGCTGTTTACTTAGTATGCAATTATCTGTTTCCGCAAACTATTGTGCTTGTTTGGTCTTTCATAACCTTTAACACTAAGATTACATCAAAACCATTTGAAATCATCTCTTGCTGGTACAATATAAACTAGTCCTGGCCGGTGTGAGCGGTAACTGGAAGGACTTCAGGGACTTGGTTTGGACTTGTTTTGAAATGGTTGGTTACCAATACAACTGGGTTTTTCTTTTTTTTTCCCTTGTAGTACGCCTTATGCACTTCGAAGATTATACACTAAGGACATGTTTGGGTTGTGCCCTCCCAGGCAGCATGAGCACCAGGCAGCCTTCTCAGCCTCAGGCGTCCGAAATCAGACGCCTTGGAGCTAGTGGAGTGCTAGGCAAAGCTGCCTGGGACACAATTAAACAGCCCCTAATTGTCGGTCCTAATGGCTAAATAACATTTTTTGGATGGTTGGTTACTTATTTGTAGTTCATAATATAGTAGATTGTTGCTAATGCTAACTGTCATGTGAAGACTGACGCTGTCATTCCACTACCTGCTGTGATAATTGAAGGTTCAGCCTGCATATTGAAAAGTTTAATTTGTTGAGCAATCCATGGTTACTCAACCCTGCTTATCATGCTGCCTGGATCTGATTGTTGTGCCAACTGGCAACTGAGCCAATAAAGCCATCAGACTTTTGGTGTGACGTGGTGACCTTTATTTTTGTTACCACTGTGTGGTGGATTTCTTATATGAGAAGTTGCCTTGTTAATGTGAAAGGTTTGAAAAATCATTTGTTTGCAGTATATTTGATCTGAAGAGCGGGCCTGGTGCAAGCGGTAGAGTCTTACCGCCTGTGACCGAAAGGTCCCGGGTTCGATTCACGGTCTCCTCGCATTGCACAGGCGAGGGTAAGGCTTGCCACTAACACCCTTCCCCAGACTCCGCACAGAGCGGGAGCTCTTTGCACTGGGTACGCAGTATATTTGATCTAGAGCACTATGGGATTGAAAACTGTCATGCAAGTAATTTACTTGCTTGTGTTCACTTCTCCGTTTCAGGAAGAGCAAAGGCAAGGAAGCTTCTTATGGGATCATGCAGGTGAGCATGCTCGTGCTTTGGTTCATCTTTACTTTATTCACGCATCTCACCTCAATTATAGCTACTCTGCAATATTGAATTGCTTCCAAACAGAATTATAAGATTCGTTGTCTTAGTTTGTTCTCTGGAAGCATGAGGGGCAGATCAATATTAAAGTTCTTGTGCCTGTTGCTACTGCTGAAATGCTATTACAAAGTCTGAAAAGCATCCACTGCTGAAGTTTCCTTTGTGGATATTGTAGTTGGCTGTCTCCACAACCTAATGATCTGTTGTAGGCTTTCGGACTTCTTCCATTGGGGAACTTAAAGTTTCATCCTCCACTTTTTACTCACATAAAGTTAAACCAAAGTATATAATAAGACGGTGAACATATAGCGTACAGCAAGGATTCATCTATGGTTTTATTAATTGACAAAAAGGCAGGTTACTTTGAACCCTGAAGATATGTTTATTAGTTTGGAACTTTGGATAAGGAGTGATTTCTTCACGGTAGGTTATGCTTGATGAAATGAAATAAGGTAAGTACCTCTGAAACTGCAAGTATTCTATTATGTTTCGTTCTTAGTTTTAGTTGAGCTTCTTTAGTTTTAGTTGTGATAATGACTAACCGGAACTAATCCAGTCCGCAACAAGAACATTGTGTCTTTAAAATTTTCAGAAATGACACGACTTCAGTGGTAGCTTTTACAGTTAAGGGGACATACTGCTTAAACTGCCCACATTTCGAAGTACCACTAATATACAAAACATCACCCAAATACCAAAGCTCTGAATCAAAAGACTGGCATGTCTGTTGAGGTGAATGTCGCATTCCAGAGAGAATCTCATCACCTCCCCCAATGGTTCTCTGCCCGCTAGTTCATCTCGCAGGGGCCAAGTTTTCTTGGTAGTTGCAAGTAGCATTTCACTGTGCTTCACAACTGCAGGTCAAAAAGCGTGGTGCCCCTGCTCAGACCTTGCCGTCACGGAGCCTCCTCTTTGTTGAAGAGGTTTGTTTTTGCCCTTTATATGCTTCCCCCCTCATTATAATCCCTTGTGCTAAAAGCAAGCATCAATTTTATTCTAGTGATATGCCAAAGCTGCCTGATAAAGTCTAAAGATGATCGTTTGTGTTTATAGTTTACTGTGCATAGCTTTCCATGCCCTCAGCTGGGTTCCAGCTTTTGTCCACCGTTCCCTGTGTTCTGGTCCCTCGCTCCCTCAGTCCTCACTGCCTGGCTTGCTGAGACGTTTGCTGTACGTGGGTCTCACATGGCTGTTGTAGTACTTCTCCCCTCGTAGGCTCCGCTCATACACACACCATGCATGGGGGCGAGATGTTGACTGAAATGGAGAAAGCCTCATTTCAACTACACTAGCATCATGTACTGGCTCTGCTTTAGTGTCGCTCAGCTTTTTCTGCTAGGGAAAAAACTATTTTCCACAAAGCTTGTGTGTTGGGTATCAATACGGCAAGGGACTTGTAACCCAAGTTACATCCCTGACTGCAGTAATGCCTGACGGAAAGAAAACTGGGTGTTGATCCAGATTTGGCTTGGCCACAAGCGGCTCTGTCCTCTACCTTCAGCCATTCAGGAATCAGGACCATTAGTCTGGTGGAAAATTGGTCTGCTAGTTTATGCATACTTGTTCAGGACAAGTGCTTGTTACCGTGCATATTTATTCTTCACTGAAATAAGCTGCACACTGGCATCTTAACTCTTGTTTTATCCCTGCATTTCAACTCCATTTCATGGTTTTACCAAAAAGAAACTCCAATTCATGGGGTTCCTTTTCCTGCAGGTTACTCGGCACGGTACAGCTGCTGGCTGCTGCTGGCTGCAGTATCCATCCGGATCTTGCATTGAGTTGACCATCATCACTGCTGCAGGCGTGCGTGCCGCACGCCCCCTGCTAGTGTATGCAATATTTTACGCACATCAACCATTCCACCCATCCAAGGAGGAATAAACAAGCTATTTGTCTGCTAATTTCCCTTCCCGAGAATCTACACATTCTTTATACAGGTGAAGTGGGGGAACTGCTGTCTACTACAAAAGTATTGCCTTTGTAGTTCATAAAAAAGGGCGTACCATTGCAGAGAGCTCCCGCTCTGTACCCTCGTCTGTGTAATGCGAGGAGACTGTGACTCGAACCCACAGGCGGTAAGACTCTACCGCTTGCACCAACCCCGCCCTTCTTTGAAGTTCGTACATATAACTACTTTTTTCTGATAAGGCACAACTAAACTACTTGAAAACTGGATAAACTGTGCTGAAAAAGTTCATGGAATTCTTAAGAATATACAGGGATAAGTAAAGCTTGTGCATTCCACCTTTTGTGCAACACTGGAAAGTCGAACTTTCTAAAATCTTTAGAATAATAACAAATCTTGCATTATGAGAGGTATTTCTATGTTTGTTTATTTCACAACAGTTATCAATTGTCTATATGAGGGGTGCGTTATGGTATCTGTACTATAGTCTGGCAAAAGTGGTAAGAAAGACTGACGAGAAATCAGAATTTATTTTTGTTAGGGACCAATGCGTTCATGAAGGGAGCCACAACCATTATGATGGGCATTCATTTTCAACCACCTTTACCAGCATACACTTTCATCATGGAATTTGATCATTGTTGGAATCTTTGGTTCCAGCAGGCTCATAACTTTGTTTCAAGGAAAATGCTCCCATGGAATCTTTATCTCCAAGGTTACAGGTTTGAAAGCTTCCTACTCTTTGGTGATTGAAATGACCAATATGTAATTCTCATAGTAGTATTTCGACCTTAAATACTACCCCTGAGAAATTGTGCTGCCTAAATAAGGTGCCGTGACTTAAAAGCTCTGGAGTCCTTTGTGCTTAATTAACTAATGTTTAATTTGTATTCACATGGCATGGTTTTACCAAGTCCACTCCAATGCTGTCACCGTTTGTTGGTTGGTTTCAGCCAGAGCTTATCAGCCAGCCAACAGTGTTTTCCCCTTACAACAAATCAGCACCAATCGGACTTATCAGCCCAGAAACCAACCAGCGAACAGGGTAACAGTATTTTCCTCTCGCAACAAATTTTGCCAAGAATGCATCACCCCCAATGTTGACTGCTAACAGTTGTTCACCCTCTCCACTGTTGCCATGAGCACCACTCACATGCCACAGCATACAAGTCCAATCCAAAGCCACAAACACCCAGATATATACAATATACAAATTATAACAAGCCAGTCAGGGCAAAGCACTAGGCAGTAAAAGCCTAAAAGGTATTACATTACACTGTTTGATCACCACCCTCTCAAGTTGCCCCTACTTTCAACAACACATCTAAGTCAACACCATGATTCACTCTTGATACAGGCGAAACCATAAGAGCAGTAAAATAATGAAAGCAAAAAAAAAAAACGAAAAAAAAAGGGTAGCAGGACTGCATCACCAATACCATGGTCCATCACCAACCTCTAGATTATAGGATTGTAGCTGCATTCCTACATGACAACACAGCCCTTGGTGTTCTCATCACTGAACATGGTCTCCACATCCCCATTGCTGGCTGGGTAACCAGCACTGCCAGGATGGGGATGGTAGTAGTAATTGTAAGGGTTGTAGTAGCCAGTGTAAGGGCTGATCTGGGGAGAGGAGTGGTACATCATCTGCGGCTGCTGCTGGGGCTGATGCATCATCATCATGTTGCTGTTCAGACTCCTCAAATTGTTCATCATCGCGGCCGTCGCTGCAGGGTGATGATGGTACCCCTGCATGCTCGCCATGAGGTTGTTGCTCTGCTGCTGCTGTAGATGTTGTTGCTGAAGACCTCCATGGCCGGCAGCAGCATAGGACGGGTGGTTGAAGCCTGTGTAACCTTGGAAGCCAGGAGCAGCACTGCCGGCTCCCAAGCCATGGCTCAGGCCCAACATGCCACTCATGGCACCAGTGTTCCTCTGGGCACCATTAGCCGCCATCTTGGCGTTCGCCGCCGCTGCCATGTTGATCGCATTAACATTCTTCTGGTTCTGGACTCCACCGCCCATCTTGGCATTTGCAGCTGCCATGTTGATCACATTTACATTCTTCTGGTTCTGGTGGTGGTTGTTCTGGTGATGATTGGCTCCGCCACCATTACCTTTCTTGCCATTGCCATTGTTGTGGTTATTGTTGACAGCAGCATTGTTCCCGTTCTTGTTCTGGTTCTGGTGGTGGTTGTTGCTGTGGAACCCGAGCTGGCTCATCTTGTCCCCAAGGAAGCGAAGCTCCTCCTCATAGTCGTCGTCAAACTCATCATCCTCATCATCATACGTGTCATCATCCTCCGAGCTGAGATCAGGGAGCTGGTGCTTGTTGCTGTGCTGGTTCTTGAATGCCTTGAGGTCCTGCATGAGGCTCCCAACCCCTCCTTGCTTTCCCTGCTCCTTCTGGCCGCCGTTATTGTTCTTGTTGTGCCCATCCTTGCCCGGATTGGCACCTTGCTTCTGCTGTTGTTGATGCTGCTGGTGGTTCTGCTGGTGCTGCTGCTGCTGCTGCTGCTGCTTCTGCTGGCCATTGTTGCCCTTGTGGCCCTGGTTGCCGCCGCCCTTCTGCTGTGACCACAGCTCCGCATGCTTGCCGCCCCTGGTGAGCTTCCTGATCAAGGTCTCCGAGTCCACATCGCCTGTCACCGACACCTTGTGGTTGTCCACATCAATGGCCACCGAGTACACGCCTGCCATGAGATGCAGCAGAGAGAGGGTCACAGGCCGCTCGTGAGCAACGGTAACTAGTTGGCGATTGGCGATTGCATGCATGTCACAAGATGTGGGCTTGTGCAGTGCGTGGGGTTGCGATCCAGAGTACTTTCATGCCCATCCATTTGAATGAACGGCAGGAAATTTCACCTCAACCTGAGGTGAAAAGTCCTATTTACCATAGCTCAGTAAAATGCACACCATCTCTAAAACTGGAATCAAGTTTTACCAGCTCTTATCTTTTGTTCTCTGAAGGTAGAAGGATGGTATTAACAATCACTCTGGTCTGAACATCAAGTACCCGTTACATGAAAAGCAGGGATCTCTTGTCGTGTTAACGCATTTAGCAAGACACAGGGTGGTTGCAAGTGAACAAAGCTCTCCGTTTTTATGGCCGGGCAGAAAAGATATTGGCAGTAAAGTGGGTGTCAAGAAAAAAGGAGAACTGAAAACAAAGTACCACACCACCTTATAGAGTAAGCGCTCTTCTGTAGGAGGCCAAGAAATGGGGGGCGGTAGAACAATAAAGCTGTGTGTGTGTGTGTGTGTGTGTGTGAGAGAGGGAGAAGGGGGAGAAGTACCTTCGATCTTCTGAAGAAGCTTCTTGACCTTGTGCTTGCACCCGTCACAGTGTATGTTCACCTTCAGCACATGGTTCTGCAAGAAACAAGCGAACAAGGCCCAAGAACAGTTTTGAGTCAGCTCTCACTCAAGAAGCCACATGACTTGTAGAGGGAGAGGGAGAGGGAGACCTGGATCTTGACCAGCTTGAACTCCTCGTCCTTGGTCATTCTGTCCGGGGAGCACTACTGTGGGCAAGTCGCTGCTTGTGTGTGTGTGAGAGAGAGAAACTGCTGCTGGCTGATGGGGGAGAGGAGAAGAGAAGAGACGGACGGAGGAAGAGGGAGGGAGGGAGGATGGTGCGGGAGTGATAGTAGTGTCTGTTCTTGTTCTTGTGCTTGTGCCGTTGCAGGTGAACCCACTACTCACTTCCCCCCGGTCGCTCGGCAACGCTCCACCTCTCGGCTCACTCACCTCACCTGGGCCCTGCTGGCCTCTCGCTCTCTCTCTCTCTCTCTCTCTCTCTCTCTCTCTCTCTATATATATATATATATATATATATATATATATATTGCTACACGGTTACGCTGAACTGCTGAAACGAACTCAAAATTCAAATTTAAAAATCTCGAGTTACTATTCACAGCACTGTTAAAATTCTGCAGTCACTATTTAAATTCGTGGCACTATTCAAAATACTCGCTACTATTTAAATTCGGAATATGAACAGTGCACGAGCACTCACCCAGGAGTGGCTCAGCACTCAACCTTTACTATTTAAGCACTATGCGGCGTAACTATTTAGAGCACTTATATTGCTTTTATGGATGTGGGAGTGATTAGTGAATATGTGAGTATGCGAATTAATATTTCCCAAGATCTTTTGCAGGCTGGCGAGATCAACGGTTCAGTCGGTCGTGTGACTATGCTTATGACAGTCCTACTCGGTACTCACCGTATACATCACTAGCTCGCTTCAGAACCAGGCTAGCCCGGTCTACTCTCTCGCTATCCCCAGCCGCGCACACACAGGACTCAGACTCTATCGTCTCCCCAGGCAATTCTACCCGAAGGGAACACTTCACTGCGCACACAGGGTTCTCTACAAACGCCGCTACCAGGGCTAACACGAGAACAACACACGCAGATGTTTCTCCTCTAAGGTCCCTAGCATAGAGACGTTGCCCCGTATGAACGAGCTTAAATGATGGCAGGGATTAAAACAGGAAAGCTTAATTTATTTCCACAGAGCAAGCTTACATACGGCTTTCCCTTTCGGAAAACCCCAAGCACTTAGCATAAACCTTAGGGATTACCTTACAACCGCAGGAGGATCACGGAGACCTCCTTTATTCTATAATTTATAGAGGTGGGGTGATACAACGGTAGTGGGTGATTACTACTACAGGTGTATGGTTCTCAGAGTCCTTTTGAGATTATGTCTTCATGGTGTATTTGTGAGTGGGAGAGTTTGTGGAGTGGGTGGTGGATGAGAGTGCGTGTCTAAGGCTGGTGGTCTTCGGTGCTCGGTTCTTCGATCACTAGTTCTTCGATGTCGAATGCCTGCGCCCGGCTTCTCGCTTTATAGCACGAAGTAAGTGTCCTTCATGCTTATCATCTGAAGGAGCCTTCGAGGCGAAGTCTTTAATTATTCCTTCTTACTGTTACCTGGACAGCTGAACAGAGAATAATTGTCCTAGCTATAATAAAATAACTATATATTCATTTTACGTTGTCCTTCGTCGTGTAGAGTCTTATTCTTCTTGATATTCTTTGGTACGATATCTCTCTCTCAATCTCAGTGACCTGATCGAGACCGACCCTCTCACACACCCACATGGGCGGGCGCCTGGGCTTGGCTTGGGCCTTCGTCTCCCTCGCCCTCCTTCCTTCCTTCCTGCCCCACCGCTGTGGGAAAAATATATTGCGACGCCCTGTACTATATACAGCCACACCCACACCACACTCGACTCTATCTCTCTCTGTTGTAAAAAAAACTCTATCTCTCTCCTATCGTTAGAATAGTGTGGTAAAACTTCACTTTTGTAGTCCCTCCAGAACATTGTCTGGAGAGTCAAGAGAGTGAGGGGAAGCAAGGCGCCAAGGCCTCTGTGCGCGTGCGCGTCCCATTTTGCAGGCTGATACTGTACTGTACTACATACATTATTATACAGTTTACAGGTCTGCCATAGGACCTAATAGCATGCAACGCATAATACAGGACCTTTCACTCTTTCAGAGTGCCAAACTGCCACCGAAACATGGAGCAATTGCGATACTGGAGCTAGCCACGTACAATACGGAGTACGTACTACTACAGCTGCTCTGTTTGCCTGAGGCTGGGCGGTCGATGGTCGACGCAGAGAGGGCTATCCGTCAGAGCGGAGGTAACGAGGCAGGGATGACCTGCAGCCTGTTCGCTCGGCTTTCGGCTTGTTTCAGCTGGTTTTGCCGGGCCTTGTTAGGGGTTAGATAGCGGTTAGAAATTAGTATTGGGCACTGTAGTACTTTTATTTATATTTAACAATTATTGTCTAATCATAGTCTAACTAGATTCAAAAAATTCGTTTTGTAATTTACAATCAAACTGTGTAATTAGTTATTTTTTTATCTATATTTAATACTCCATACATGTATTCAAAGATTTGATGTGATAAAGAGAGTGGAAAAACTTGGAATCTAAACAAGGCCCGGTCGAAATCAGTTAGTACACAGTAGTTTTGTATTTCAGCTGGTCCTTGCTCTGCCGCTGCCGCTGTGTCTGTGCGTGCGTGATGGGAGCGGAGTGCCGTGTGCGCTTCGGAGTTTGGACTCCGCACCAAAAAACAAAAGTATGCCTGCTACCTGTATCTGAAAAGTGAGGCGAAAAGAGCGAGCACCACGGGGTCCATCTACAGTATATAAAAAATGTATTTTATTACTAATAGTATGCTGCATTTTCCTTTCTCGAGGATTTATCTATATATCGTCTGTGCTGTGGAATGTGGAGTAGGAGTACATTAGGAGTAGCAGTGTCTGACTAGCTGCTGGTGAACAGCGCACTGTAGCTCTACCATTTTTCATATCACTTTCTTTCGTACTGAAAGCCTCCTGTAGCTGCAGGCATTGTGTTTGTTGCAGAGTAAGGCCCTCTTTGTCAGGGCCCTCGCGGGTCCAGTCGGCCACCCACGGGCCGATAGGTGCCGGCGAAAACCACGGAGAAAAAACGAGCTTGTCTGGCTCCGGCGGTGCGTGTGAGAGAGGAGGAAGGAATGAGAGAGGAGGAACAGCTTTGGTGAACAGTAGCCTCCTGTAGGCCCGTGGACGGCCGATAGGTGAACAGTGCCCCGGAGCCCGTGGGAGCCCTGTCAAAGAGGGCATAAAGGTGGTGGTACTCCGTCTCTCCATCAAAAGGTAAAACTAGTTTCAGTAGGACAAATGTTCTCTTAAGATATAGCCACGGTTCGTTTCTCTTATAATCCGTATTTTTAGCTTGTTTTTTCATCCGGAACGATGTTTTTCTCTCACAACAAATTAGCCAGAACAGTGTTTCGGCTTGTTTTTTATGAAGCGAACGGGACCATACTGTCAATTGCTCAAATATCATCTCAAAGCCACTCTGAATATAAATATGTGTTGATGCAATTTCTATGCATTGAGCGTGTATACTATTTGTTAGTTGTTGATAAAATTTGTAAAGCTTAAGTTTTCTCTTGTCAAAGACATTGCTGGATATAGTTAGGGGTACTACAATTAGAGGCTGTCACTTTTTGTTCAAGAAAAACATCCATTTTTTCTAGCCAGTGAGTAACCATACTTTAGTACATTTCATTATTTTGTTAGCTGTACAGTGTGTACGATGTGTCCTTCCTTCGGGTCCAAACTTTCAGAATCAGAGACTCCCATCGTCCTTGGGAAAATAGCCGCACTCCCAGCTGGACGCGGCTGCATTCACAGGTAGCGACGACTTTGGCGCTCTTCGGCCGGTCGGAAAAATAGCTGACACTGATGTTAATTTATGGTAAAAGAAATACACTGTTATTTTATTAAAACGGTATGTCTGATGAGTTAAAGTGAACAGGGCCTCTACTAGTGCTGTGTCCTGATCTCATTTTTCCCCAGAAATTGCATGCATGCTCTATGCTAGGGCAAAGTGTCTATTTGGGGTTGGGTGCAGGTGCAGCGTTTTCTGTGGTGGCATGAATGCACGGTGAGAGTGAAGCCGAGAACTGTAACTAAAGGAGCAGGTGAGTGATGGGGACGTTTAGGGGTGTTTGTGGCATTTTAGAATGCACGGTGAGAGAAAAATAGTGGAGTTGTGAGAGCACTGTAACAAACTCCAGTTTTTTAGGAGCACTCCACGCAGGTTTGAGTGATGGGGACACCCCTTAATACCGAGAGAGAGGGAGAGGCAGGTGAGGTACCCCAGGGAAGGGACGAAGGAATTGAAAGCCGAACACAACCTTGGCCACCTATCACTACTCACTGCCTGCTCTCCTTCCCTACTCTCCCTCAGTCTCCACTCTCCAGTGACTTCCTTGGCTCCGTACGTGCGCTGCGCTGTAGTAGATCTTTGCTTCGCGTCACTCTCACCGTCCACACTGCTCGTCCACGTCCAGTCCAACAGGTACGTACGTATTTGCGTTGTACTCGTACCTCCGACATACGGGACTACTACTAATGTCACTGTACCCTCGCTGTCGCTGGTAACTCGTGGTAAATGCTTGTAGTTGTAAAACGAACGTGATCCGTGATTCCGTGCCGTCGTTGTACCGATCGAGCTGATCCTAGATTTGACGCAGCACTGCTGCTGCTGCATGCCTTGGTTTTACTACAGAGATTCACTCGCGATCTGCGCGGATACGCAGAGGGAGTGCACTCAGCACTCTGCTGCTCGTAATAATAGTACTAGCTGGTAAGGTAAGGCTCTGTTTGGACGGAGGGACGTGGTGGGATGGAAGGGGACGGTCCTGGGATGACTGATGTTTGGTTTGGAGTCTTCCGGGACCGAGGACGTTCCACTCGGGAATATTCGTATGAGATTCGGGTTCACTCCGTCTCCTTAAATTTCTCGGACAGGGGTCGTCCCAAGTGGGACGAGGCGCTCGCTGGCCGGCGTGGAAGAAGAGAGGAGGGGCAAGCTCTGGCCCCGCGGGCGAGTTACAGCCATGCCAGTGCTGAAGAAGAGGTCGAGGGTTTCCACGGGAGCAGCCACCGGTGCTAAAGAAGAGGGTGGCGAGGCTCCAGTCGC